GGGACACCCCAGGGATCCCTCAAACTTCACTGGGATCCGTCCTGATTCAGGGGGGCACGGGGACACCCCTGAACCCTCAGGACCCCCAAAACCTGACTGGTTTCCATCCTGGATTGGGGGAGCACAGGGACCTCCAGCACCCCACCCCCCCAGGGTGCCTCCAAACCTCACCGGGTTCCGCCCTGGATCAGGGGGGCCATAGGGGCACCCGAACACCCCCAAAACTCCCCCAGACCCCTCCCAAACCTCACTGGGGTCCACCCTGGATCAGGGAGGGCACAGGGAAACCCAAACACCTCCAGGGACCCCCCAAACCTCACAGGGGTGCGTCCTGGATTGGGGGAGCACAGAGACCCCCAACCCCCTCCAGGGCCCCCCCAAACCTCACTGGGGTCCGTCCTGTATTAAGGGGGCACAGGGATCCCCCAAACCTCCCCAAAGAACTCCAGGACCCGCCCAGAACTCTCTGGGTTCCATCCAGGATCAGGGGGGCACAGGAACCCCCAACCCAACCAGGGACCACCCAAACCTCACTGGGGTCTGTCCTGGACCAGAGGGGCACAGGGACACCCAAGGACCCCCTAGACACCCCCAGGGACCTAGGTTTATGTTGGAGAATAGGCTAGTTGGAGCAAGAAAAACACACTTTGCAGGCCTCAACTGCAGTTGAAGTGAATGAAATCTAGTTTTAGCGACAGATCAGAGCAGTTGAATGAAATCTAGTTTTAGAGACAGATCAGAGCAGTTGAAAGCTGCAGGAAAGAATTTGGAGTGCCCAGCAGCAGTTTTGGTAGCTGAAATCAAGGTTTTTCTTGTAGAATATGCCAGTTTGAGTTACAGAAACACAACACACTTTTCTCAACTACAGTTGAGGTGAACGAAATCCAGCAGTTCTGGTTAGGGTTACGGTTAAGGTTAGGGTTAGGGTTAGGGTTGGGTTAGGGTTGAGGTTAGGGTTAGGATTAGGGGTTAGGGTAAGGTTTTGTGGAAGATCGACCGGAGAAATGCGCACCTGATGGTGTCCAGCAAGACTCGTTTATTGATACATGAGTTACAAATTATATAGATCCGCTAATGAGGCTCATACATATTGCAAAAGCAAGCTCATCATTGGCTGG